CTCTTTCCATTTTAGTTTTTAGAAAGCTCTTCTGAGCTTCTCATAAGCTCAAATCAATGCATGCTGATATGAGAGAAAGAGTGAGATTGCATAGGGGAAGATGGTGCCACAATAATATCATCTTAAATTTGTTTAAACTATTTTTGGAATATTTGTCTCATAATGAAGGTAAAGCTGAAGATGTGACCTATGCCTCTTCCAGAAACTTTCTGATACCAGAATTAGTTGCATGGGTGTTTTTGCTATTATAATTATGGGGTATGTAAGTAGAAGATTAATTGTGGGATGTCTGTAAAAGTGTTCAGAATTCTGATCTAACACTGACTGGAACGTTGAAAACCAGTTAAATATTTATAATGCTGCCTGTGCTTCTCATTTTCTGACTTTCTCTCTCTCTAAACACTTTCTTTAAAGTAAATGTTTAGAAAAATTGAGGTTGAGGATCCTATTAACTTTTTATGCCTCTAGGTGAACAGAGGGCAAAATGTCAGAGGCTTACTGAATAGTGACATTTGTCAGCTTGCCTACAGCAAAGCTGCTTCGTGAAGGCCATGTGTCATGGTTTGAATGTTTATATCCAGTTACTAGAAATAGTGAGTAGTCTTTTCTAGGTAGATTGTCATACATTTATCTGCTTCAGGGTTTCTTTGTGTCCCTCTAGACCATCTGATTCATCAGAATAAGAGCACTGGAGTAAACAAACAATGGCTGTGTCCCAGCATAGCAGTCCCTAGGTTTGTTCTTGGTGTTTTGCCTAAAAATTCAATCATCCTTCATATCTTGTCTGAAAAAAGAAGACATGAAAAAGAAAGAGGAAACTTTTCATGTAGATTTCAGTTATGCATCATCTTGGCTCTCTTAGTACCTGTTGCACTATGCTCTAAGTGGGCTTAACTCCTCAACCTCAGTTCTAGCTCCCAGGCTACAAGTGATATTTTGGATACGCTGACTTCTTTCCTTTGTTTCCCCATATGCCTGTAAGGGTAAGAACGTACTATTATCTAAAATAATTTTCTTGTCAAATAAGATGCTGAGAAGCGTCTTCCTGAAGCAAATCTGAGATGAGTGGGCAACTGCAACAAAAAAATCCTGAACTAGAAGTACTGTAGAAAATGTGACTTTGACTATACAATCATCTGATCCTTGAATCAAATGTTTGAGTTAATTAGTACTGCTGCAGGCCACTTTTTAACACTTTGCAAATATGCACAGGCATCATTTAGGTGCTTTGAATACAAAGTTCAAAATGCTGTGGTCTTGGAACTTATTTAAAAGATAATTGATACTGAACTCTGACTTAGTGGTCAGAGACTTTGGAAAATATCTCAGTTGCAGAATCAACCAGGCTGTCCCTGTACCCAAAGAAATATGAAAATCAGAGGAAAAAATAGTGAGACACCTTTCACATCAACACATTAGAAACTAATCAGTCATCATGGCCCTAAAGCTTTTGTAGTAGGATGAATATGGTTTTAGTATGTACCTTTCTTGGAAGAATGGTGGTTTATGACACTTTCTTACTGAATTTCAGACTTTACAGATATAATATTGGTAAAAGACATCATGACCTTTGAATATTTGGCAAAGTTAACAAGTTCAGTATTGGAAATCTAGCTAAATGGAAACCTACGGTCAGTTTGGCTGTTGGTGCTTGATAGCATGTTAAGAGTTGACAGGAAGCTACCTCCTAGATGTTTATGCTCTTTCAAGTCAGAGAAACTTACTTGGATAGCTCTCTTTGAAGTTCATTCAAGTTTCAGGACACACATTCAAGTGTGTTAAATTTTTGAAAATGTATTTACAGAGTTAATTTCTGTGCCTTGTGGGTGAAATAAAGAGGAAAGTAAAGATTATACATTTTTCGTGTGCCTTTTCAGTCAATAGAGAACCAAACAAGCAGAATTTTTTTTTTGTCTAGTACTGAAATAATTTTGAGATTCTTTTTTTTAATTTTGTTATTACTTTTTGGGAAAATTGGGGCTCAAGCTTTGCCTTCTTGATGCACTTGTTTTCACTGATATAGTGGTGTTTAAACTGAGACATCTGGCAAACGGGGAGTTTTTCATCATGTTTTCCTCTGAAATTGAATAAACTGGTAATCTAAATGTCT